AAAAAAAAAAATCACAATCAACTTGTAGAGCAAAAGACCACAGGCATGGGAAAAATAGGTTAGCTCCTATTTCACCTGCATGGAGCTAATTACTTGTACCCAAGAGCTGCTTTGACTCATACATGAACTTGATTCAAAATCCAGAAGCAACCAGGTTGGACTACAATGTATGCATTACTGTTGAGGAGAAAATCTTAGGTACACAATCCAATAGTATTTCATTATTAAATAATTATTGTTTTGATTAAAAAATCCATCACAATCCTTAGCAAACTGCTTCAATGATTTTAAAGTAATTCGTTATAATGTTTGTCTCTCACTTCTGCTCTGGTCCTAATCTTATCTCTGGCTAAGGATTTATTTCAGTGCCAGTGTTTAAAAGTTTGACAGTGTAAAAATGCCTGTAATTTGGATTTTATGAAAAAATAATTTCTGGGCAAATGAACAATCCGTACAAAACTGATGAAGAACAGCTGTTTCTGAAATACATTCTGTTAAAACTAAACCATCTTCTTCACTTCGCCTTGTCTCCAGAAGCACATTTCTCAGAAAACAAATCATGAAGAAGTAATCAAAAAGTAAAAGGGATCAAATACATTAGGAATCAAAAATGCATTAAATCAGTGAAATTGCTTTTTACAAACTTGGCTGATAAATCAATAGTTTTAAAAGAAGAGTGAGCAAAATAGACCAGACCAATCTTCCCTTAAGCTACAATGATTAGCATGCATCAGCCTTCTTTAATCTTTTAAGAACAAGAAGTTCCATGTTGGCTATTTACCTGTTTTCTCCTCATTTTTTCCATCTCATAAGATCCACGTGAAGTTGAGCAGCCTGAAGTCATCTGGGTTAGCCTGTTTCTTTTTTGGTAGTAATTAAAAAAAAACTCACTGTGTCCTCCAGACTTTGGAAAGTTTCAGTGTTTTGAACATCAGTATTAATAACCTGAAGACCCTGATTCTTTCTACCTATTTTTTTTTCTATGAACTGCCTATAGTTGTTTGGTTTTTTTTTCAGTTAGCATTGGTTGTCTGCAAAATACTAAAATAAATTCTGTTACAAGTGATGCAGAAATACATTTTCAGGTTCAGTTCTTTCAAAACCATGCAATTTTACAATTTTATTGTTTATACATAAACATAGCTACAGTATTAACAACTTCTCCTTGGCAACACTATGTGCATCCAGCTTTGTTATCATCATCATTGCTTGCCCTTATTTTTAAACAACATCAGCAACATCAAAAGATCTTGTGGGCAAAAGCCATGCATGGAGTTGCATGAATCCAGTCCATTCTGACAAAAGACATTCAGTGTTTTTCCCAAAAGCTATGTAGTACTTTTGGGATGCATTGATATTCACATAGCATGGAAAGAGAAGCATAAGCAGTATTTTCTAATAATAAAAGCTGGCTACTTCCTACTGAGGAAATTGTCTATTCCAACACCTAGTAATTGTGGTCCTGGAACTTGTTATACTACAAATAGAAACATACTGAAATGGCAGCACTGTAGATGGACCTTTAAAACAAAGTAGTACTGTAAATTTTTCAGGCCGAATAGCCTAGACTGAGTCTGTGCAATCAAGAATAGATAACTTTTCAAAAAAGAGCTCTGAAATTATTTTCCTCTTTCTACAAATTACTAGGACCTATAACAAAATTCTTTCTGCTTTATCACAAACACTATCCTAAGTGTTCCCAGGCAGCAACATCTCAAAAGTTGCTGTCAGTTTTAACAATTGCATTATTGTGACAAAGAGGGAGCTAGCATAAATAAAATGTTATATAGCAATTATTGAATTGGTTGCTATTAATAACCTCACACAGATCTCTCCCTCTCTCATTCAAGCACAAACAAAAGCACAACGTGCCCAGTAAGAATACTTCATTTAGCAAAGGGTGAAAGGACTTCTATGGGCAAACAGTGAGTTAATTATTGATCAGCAGCAAACACATGATTTTGAATGCAGGTAAAAGATGGAGGGGGCACTTACCAAATCTACCAGGCACAATTCATATGAAAAGCCAACCAGTAAACATCTTCACATCTGTAAGAACGCACTAAAGCTAATAAAAGTTAAAAAGTGACTAATTTTAGAAAATTTGAAGCAGATGTACTATGTTGAAAGCCACATGAGCATACTGTGAAAATGGACAGTATACAGAAACTCTTCACCTTTCTTTCTGAGAACAACTTACACATTTTGTATTTGATGGCAGCACACATATAAGAACACATTCTGTGCAGCTCTTAGATGACCACATAACATCTGTGGTCATACACACTATAGGACAGCAAAAATGCAGAATAAATATATTTAACATATTTGTCTGACACTATTACCTTTTGGTCTGAAAAATGTTCATATTAAGGAAGAAAACCAACCTTCCATTGACATTAGTAATGACAGACTCAAAAATTTTTACACTTATTTTTGCCCCAAACTTTTCAGTCTGATTCCACAAAGGATTTTGTTCCTACTCTCAGTCCTTCTTGTATTCTGTGTTTCTGTTTGACTTCTGCACTGGGATTTCTTTATTTGTTCAGTCTTACAACTGATTCACTAAACATGACAAACTGCCTTCATGCTAAGTCAGTCATAGCAGCATGTCCATCTTGGCTTTCTTTCTCTTTAGAATAAAAGCGTTAAGAACACAGGTGCTCAAAACTCAATGTTAACCAGGTGACATAAGATTAAAAGAGTTTTAAATCACAAACCCTTGATAGAGCTGAAAGTGGACTCCAAAAAAACCAAACTTCTTATAGAACAATTGCATATGTACACACTTATAACACCTACAGACATTCAGGGCATTCTAGTTTTCTAGCAACTGATTAGGCTGTTTGTTACCAAGCTGGTTAAAACAGCTGCATTTTCCCACAGCTACAAGGAACAGATGAATTGAACTTTCAAAATTCTAAATAAATAAATAAATGTTTTTTTCACTTTTATTTTAGTATCACTAAGATTAGTCCCTTTTCATCAAAACCCAGTAAAAAAAAAAAATAAAGAAAGAAAACCACAACTTCAGAATCAATGGAATCAGAATTTTACCCAGGTTTCCACTGCAGTACCTGTAAATGAGGATGTACTCAGAAAAGTCTAAGACTGATACATAGAGATCTAGAAGGCAATTAAAAAGCCATAGGAACTATAAAATGTGCAGCAGAAAAAGCACTGCAGAAGAGCAGAACTTCTCAGGAACTTTTTTAAAGTAGAAGAAAAATTCAGACCATGTAGGATTTGCTAAAAGCTACAACTGAAGTTACTGTATTTGCTTAAGTTCATAGCAGATCCTACAATAGCAATCTTCACTTAAAAAGGAATTTTTAATACTAGTGCCAAACAGAAAAAAATATAAACATACAATGTAACTGCTGGAAGCATACAATCAGCTTTTCAGGTCAGGTACAGCCACTCTTATATACAGCCAAATAGAGCATTGCATATACTAGTCACCAAGTATCTGCTTATTTTCATGTGTGGGATGGGTTTTATGGTACTCAGAGTATATTAGTGCTACAAATTCAATAAGATATTTAATATCATGGTGCTGATGGAAGCCATTGGCTAGCTGGCTTCAGTGCTGTTGCCCCCTATTTATCTGAATGCTCAGATAAAAAAGCCTTCAATAGTTTAAATCATGCCACTTACTTTCACCAACAATCTGACTAAAAAGAAAGTCGTAATTACTATCTCAATATATTGGAAACCAGTGAAAAACTAATTTACCTTCCTAAACAAGAACGTTTTGGCAGAGCAAAGAAACAAAACTCCAAAATCATGTATCAATGCTGGTTAATTTTAAATCATAATATCTCTTTGGTCCCCTCCTCATTAAAAAAAGAATCTATTCACTGGGTGAAGAACAACAATTTCACCTGCTACCAAAAAATCCAAAACATCTTTGAAATGAATCTGATAAGGAAATCTTACTGCATGACTCAGTGGGTGTGGTTTTTATCATGTTTCAGCCAGCATTACTGTTCATTTACGCAGACATTGCTTAAATTCTGTCCAAGAAGGAAGTGAAGATGGATATCAAAAGAGGAAAGTTAATTTAAATACAGAAGAAAGAATTGGTTACAGACTCTCATGTAAGAGCGTGGTACAGAGGACAGCCAAGATAGGGTTCCCTTATGCCAGCCTTCTTCTTCAGCAGTAAATTCAGACAGCCACAGGTATCCAACTTCAGATTCTCTTGCAGAGTGATGTTTGGGAGACAGTGATGTTGCGACAGCTACACAGATTTAAGTGAACCCATGACATACACTTAATGATCCTTTCTCCCTATCTCCATTAATGAAAAACTAACATGGTACAGTGAAAAAAGTGGCTGCCAAAACCTGGATGTGTCTGTGATATCTGACTTCGCAAACAATACCAGGTACAGTTACCCCCAAAACGGAAGCCATGCTATTAAGCTCCAGTTAGCATAGTCCAGGTCAAGACAAGTTACAAGATTGAACTTTAGTCTAACACAGTGATTTTATCCCTCCATCTTCAATCTAGGATTTTTTCAACACGATTGTTCTTGCCTTTATTACAAGATGAACAGACTACACACTATTATTTCTCTCCCTAAAAATTCCATCTCAAAATGCTAACCTTGTTCAAGTGTGAATATAAATGAGTTTTCAAAGCATGCTTATTTAGAGCTACTTTAGTTTAAGATGCAGTTAAGTTTTCCTAACAAGACTGTCACTAAATTTCTTTCAGGTTTAAAATCTTCCTACAGTTAGAGCAAATATAATCATTCACAACTAGGGGAAAACAAACAAACAAACAGCAAGAAAACAAACAAAAAACCTCTTAGCTTTCAGGTGAATTTAAATCAGAGAAAAATAAATGAATCACATTTTTGAGAATCAGCTTAGCAACGAAGCCAAAAGCATAAGGATTCTACTAGTAAAGTAGACTAACTTCCAGTATGGAGGAAAAATAATCTTCTGTTGAAATCATTTTGAAAGAATTATGAACAAAAAAATTCCACTTCTTATTGCAGTATGTATACAGGAATGAAAGTGATTTATTTATTACACACAAAAACTTTTATTAAAAAGGCTGGTAATGGAACATTTTATTTTAATCTATCGGCTTGATAAAAGGTTAATTACAGAAATTGTGTATAATGTATGTCACATGGATGGGTTACTTAAAAAAAAGACTTGATAGAGGATCTTTTATCTTAGTTACATTGTAAAGTGCCTTGTGTAGTCATATTCTATTGTTGGAATGACTGCCTGTACAAATTTCAAGAAAATAAGAAGGTACCTGAATTTCTTGTTAAGGAAGAGTTGTAAAAACTGGAAATCTCATAAAAGAAACTAGAAGTCACATACAATATTTTGTTCAACTGTTCTTCTTGCTAACAGGAAAACAGCGCTTAGAGGTAGAGACTAGGAAATTAATACAGCAGATCTCTAGTAATGACATCTGGTGCTTGCCTAAACACGTAAGCTTTACTTTTTCAAGATAAAGCAGAGAACCAGAAGTTACTTTCAATAACTCTTACAAATATCACACAAAAACATATAGTGCTATTTACCAACTTAACATTTGTTATTAACAAATGCCAAGCTGAACTGAACCTAGCAAGGCTAATTCCTAGCTACCTTCCTGTAGCTGCAGGGCAAGCAGGCTTCTTCTCAGTTTCAGTCAATCAGGACAAGAAATAAGCTGCTGTTCTGAAACACCCTTTGGAAGGGCTCCTTGCTGTTGATGAAGGAAGGATAAATTAGCTTTGCTAAGCTCAGAAGCTTGCCTTTGAATAGGAGATTTTCTTAGTCTTCCCTGTGATGATACACCTTCAAACAGTTGTTGGTCCCAAGTTTGTAATGTTGAGTATGCTGGACAATTGCAAACTGAGGTGTCTGTCCACTTGTGACTGAGGCAGACAACAAAACAAAAAGTAAAATAAATCACTAAAAACAATCTCAGAGCCAAATCTAATACAAAAGTAGTACATCTAATATTTCCAAGTCTTCACTATGTGGTAATATCAAAGCATGGATTCTCAAACTTCACTTAAATATATGCCAACTCTGGCAAAAGTCTATGTAACTCCAGCCTTATCTTCTTAATACATCCTCCTTCACCAGGATCTCAATTGCATACTCACAGCTACCTCCTTAACTGAGATGCAAACATTCAATCTTGTCCCTTCAATACTACTTGTTTTCCATTCTGGTTTCTAACCCGCCCTCCACCCTCCCTAGCAGAGTAGCAGTGTTCAATTACACAAAAGGAGCTCATCCCAGAACTTTAATTAAGTACTACTGCAAACAGTGGTTTATTGCTTTCACACACCATTGAATTCTAGTTTAGGAACCCTTAAGTAACAGCTCACTACACTGAAAGAAATCCTTACAAATAGCATGCAGTATTGGAAAAAAAAGGATACATGTGAACTCCAAGTTCTCCTCCACCTTCTGCAACAGTCTCTATTATTTTCTTCATCACTTCCGCATGCCTGAAATACAGATTAGAAACAGTGAAAACATTTTAAAGAAAAAATAACTCCTTCTTCATCTCAATAAAATCATATTATGTGCAAATTAAGAAGTTTTGGATGTTTGGCTCCACAGCAGCAAGACGAAACTTGAAGTTTATTAACAGAGAAATCCCAACAATGACTGAAATATTAATATTGAAGTGATGAATACAACACTTGTCAGCCTCTTACATTCACAAAGAAAAAAAGAATGTTCTATGCTACAGTGTAGACTGAGTGGCATAATGCAAGACAGTATATTTTCCTTGCTGCTTACACAATTGTTAATTGTAAAATGACAAAGTCATCAGGAAAGTGTCTAGAAGGTAATCCTCACTAGAAGCCAGCAGAAGTCTTCAGATGATCTCTGAAGGTGACCTAGAAATCACTGCAGCATTTTCAGCTGTCTCCCGTGATCTTCAGCTTGCTTAAGAAATATCAAATACGTAACTCATAGTTTCCTTGGAAATGCAGTGTAAGCCAAACCTACATAAAACACTTTTTATAAGAATATAAAATGGAATCACAAACTATCTGAGGTTAGGAAAGTTTCTGGTCATTGCCCAGTACTGCCAAGTCCAGCCTTTCCTGCAAGAAGAACAGTAAGCTAGAACTGATTGCTCAGGACCCTGACTGATCTTGTTTTGAATACCTCCAACAAGAAATGTTATAAATCTTTTAATGATCAGCTACAATTCAGGAATAATGGTCTTGTGTTCAAGATAGCTCTTCTGTTTTATGAACTACGGGATGAAGAACATATCAACTCGGAGGAAAATACTGTAAGGTCAATTGAAGTTTTAGTTATAATTTATTAACCCAAACTCACAGGTTGTCACTTTCACCTATCCATCAACTTTAAATTCATGATTCTGTAGGCAGTCCTGACCAGAAACGCCACATGGTGTTATGTATGCCCACCCATCTAACAGTGTAAGTTAGTCAACAGTAGCAGTTTAAGTACTCATCCTGAAATAGACTGTTTCTAAGAACCAGGAAGAATGGTAAGCACAGTCTGAATAATTTACTGAACATCTTTTGACATTATTATGCAAATCAAAACAGCCTAAATAACTGACTAATAGTGGCATTCAGTAATTATCTCTAAAGTTACTCATGCTGACAGTGACTGCAAACATAAGGAAGGAAGTTGTTGTAAAGTTACCAAGACACTTTGTAAACAGGAACACTTTGTAAGTCTGGGAAATAATAAAGGTCAGCATTTGTCATTTACTGTACTGTCGGTCCTTAGAAACCAACTAATCATCACAGTTGATTCCAATTCTGGATCCTCATGATGACAGTGCAGAACTTATGCTCACGCAGGTACTAAGCCAGGTGCTTCTTGGTAGGCATGTGGCCTCTGTTACAACTTAAGTTTCATCCTCTCATCTGTTAATGGTGAGTTATTTTTTGTAGTGGCACAGAGTATAAGTCACCACACAGCTATTTTAAGTCTTTTACAGGATACTGGCTCAACCTCATACAGAATCACAGAATGGCCCGGGTTGGAAGGGACCTCAAGGATCATGAATCTCCAACCCCCCTGCCATAGGCAGGGCTACCAACCTCCACATTTAATACTAGACCAAGCTGCCCAGGGTCCCATCCAACCTGGCCTTGAACACCTCTAGGATGGGGCTTCCACAGCCTCTCTGGGCAGCCTGTTCCAGCACTTCACCACTCTCTGTAAAGAACTTCCCCCTGACATCCAACCTAAATCTCCCCTCCCTCAACTTCCCTCCCCTCCCCTTGTCCTGCTGTTATCTACCTTTGAAAGAGTTGATTCCCCTCCTGTCTACAGGCTCCCTTTAGGTACTGAAAGGCTGCAATGAGGTCAACCTGCAGCCTTCTTTTCTCCAGGCTGAACAAGCCCAGCTCCCTCAGCCTGTACATACATCTTAATGAGATTTGTTCTTTTCTAATGACTAATAAAAGATAACTGGAATTCTCTAACAGCCACATAATGGTCATTCTTACAGTCTTACAGTTACCTATGAGAAACTTTGTGACTTAGAAGCTTTCAAAAGTTAGTTTCCTTCTACAAGCAAATGTTAAGAAGACAACATGAAGAATATGTATCCTAAAAATTAAAGCAGCAAGATAACTTTGGGAGAAGTGTAATTTGAAAAACCCTATCTAGAAATCTCAAAGATTATTATTATTACTTTACTTCTGAATATTAGTTCCCCCAGAATAACTGGTTGCCTTAACCCAAGGTAACCGTAAATGCTACGTGTTCACTGATGTTTGTTTCAGGCCTGTTTGTATATCACTTGAGCTAACAAGTAAATCAGTAGATCAAACATTTGAAACATCTACTAAAATCTACTAATTTACTTACTGGTATATTATCAACTTTTGATGTGCTTCAAGTAATATGAGTTAACATTCATATTCTAAGTAAAAAGTACTGTTGTTCATATTGAAAAGAAATTGAGACAGATACATATAGAGTTAAGTTCATACATAAATAAATTGAGAGAAGCCAAATTTCCTAGATTGATTACACTCTTATAAGTTTTTACTTTGTTAGAAGTTTTTGCTTTTGAAGAGAATCACAGGACTGTAGGGGTTGGAAGGGACCTCCAGAGATCACCAAGTCCAGTTCTCCAGCCAAAGCAGGCCCCCCTACAGCAGGTTGCACAGGTTGGCATCCAGACAGGTCTTGAATATTGCCAGAGAAGGAGACTGCACAACCTGGGCTGCCCATTCCAGTGCTCTGTCACTCTTACCGTGTGGAACTTCTTATGCTACAGTTTATGCCCATTTCCCCTTGGAAGTAATTAAAATCTTTCAGAGGTAAATAAATAAATAAAATCAACCTAACAGTGGAATTCAGCACAGTTGACAGACTGACATTTTCTCAGTATCAGCTGAAAGGGAAAATCACCACACTGGAAAGTGAATGTATACAATAAAAACTATCCTGACCTATTGGGGGAAAACACAACCCACAAATTACACAAGAGCAATACCAGAAATGATCAATTATTCACAGTTCAAAACAGTAAAAGGCCTTCAGGACTTTCAGTGTAGTGGACAACTATAAGCATCTAGAACAAAGAGCTGAATTTAAGACTCTGTAGGACAGTGTATTTTCAAGAGAAAACTATCCATGAATATGACTCAGTGTCTGTAACTGATCACACAAAGAAACTGGTGGGAAAAAAGCAAAAAAAAGCACACAGGTGCCATTTTTAGTATAAACCTGCATAATCTTGACAGTTGACCATAAACTCTACAATTCACTTATCCTTAGCCTTACAATCACTTCCCTGCTGACAGCTTACACTATGTAAGGTTAAAAGACTTCAAAAGCCTATTATTATCCATTCTGAAAGAGAGGAAAATATGCTCTTGGAATTAGTATATGTAATTCAAACCCAATTGTAAATGTGTTTAGTAGCTAAGTAGTTTGCTATCAAATTATCATTCATAAAACCCATATAAATAGTGAGAACTGTAGTTAAACCAGTTTCCAGCAATTAATGAGGAAGTTGAATGTGTTCCTGCTGGTATGATAAAAATGCTGATAAGGAATACAACTTCCAGAAGAGCTGCAAGATGAACACTTTCAACTAACTACTTAAAATAGAAGCAATCTTAAGAAGTAGCAGTCTCCCTCACGCCACCATCCCATTTCTTCCTGTTCTCTGACGTAGGACAAAAGGACATACGCATTGCAAGAAACAGCCAAGTGAGTTTAGGACCACGCAAGTACCCTACATTACACAATATATGCAATGTGTTGGGAAGCAACAGCTGCAAAGCTAGAAAAACACTAAGTTAACAACACAACATTTTTGACTTTTTAAAATAAATAAATAAATAACATCTCAGAAGTCCAGACCTTCATAGCTATAAGCCTTATTAAATTAAGGAGATGGAATAGCTTGCCTCATATAGCAAGAGAACATACTTAATGCTTTAAGAATCAAGAAGCATGAGGCAACCTAACTTAGCCAAGGCCTTTGTAACATTGGTACCTAGCAGTCACATACAATTCCACTTTAAACCACTATTTTAGATACACTATCAGTCACTTTCTTCACATTCTCAGGACAACACCTGCCAACTTACACAATGTCAAGCAGTTGCCAGTCAATTAGGTCACCTCATCTTGTTTTGGAGAAGGTTACATAGCTTCCTCTACTTTTAAGACTACTGACAAACTGATCTCACTACAATATCAATCTTCCTTTTTTGTTCTTAAGAGACTAATTGCAACAAGTTTCATGCATATCTTTCTGAGGGTTAGATGTGAATTATGTAACAAAGTCATTGAAAGAACAGTGGAAGAACACATACACTTACAGCTCTCCTCTGTGAAAAAATTTCAATCCAAATTCATAGTCTAATAGGAAATTGGTTCTTATTCTACAAAGTCATCTGCAAAATTAAACAGGATATATTGTAGTCACAGTCCAGTATATACCCCACAGCTTTAAGTAGTCAGCAAGGGTTGTCATGCCCAAATATCTTGTCATCTTTGTGCTCCAACATGCATCCATCAGAGGCTTCCTCACAACCCTTTATTAGCAGGTCTTTCAGCATCCACTAAATTAAACTGCATCAGGAACGTTTTCTTCCTTGCTTTGGTTAATTTGCCTTCTCACTCAGTCTGCTAAACCTTCCCACATTCATCCCATTTGATCGACCATCAGAAGTAAAGAACAGCATATGCTATTTTCTTCCCGAATCTTTCTTACAGCAAAAGGTCCTTTTCATTCTCCTCATTATCTGACAAACTCATAGTACATGCTCAAATAAGAGGCCTGAGCACGCACTTAGTAATGCTTCCTCCCTCAAATTTTTCGAGACTCCAGCAGTACACAGACCAGAGACTTCCTAATTCTGAAACAGTAACCACACTTGACAACTCTTGACAACTTTCCTTCCGTTAACTTTCTAAACAACTTTAATATTAAAGTTTCTTGGATACATGCAGGGCTTACTCCTTTTTCTGGCTTTCAACATGCCAGTAGTGAGTTCCATTCAATAATACACACTTTACTACTGGGGAAAAAAATAAAAAGAAACACCTACTGGCTATTGTCCCTCTGTAGCTTTCATGATAAAAGTCACTGAAATCAGAACTCATTCCTCAGCTGTCTTTTGCTAGCTGAAAGGTCCCAGATTATTCAAATCATTTCTTATTTAAGAAGCTTCATAACTGCAGTTATTCCTGACACCCTATCTGTACTACTTCCTTCATCTCAAAGACTACAGAATGGATAAAAACAGCTGTATTCAACATATGGGTCATCCCACAGATTAACAGTAGAAACTTAATGTTTTCTGTTCTAGTCTTTATTCCTTTTCTAATAGTTCTGTAAGTTGTACCTGCTTCCTACACTACTCTCGAGTACCAAGGATTGTTTAGATAGGTCTTTATAGACTTAAACCTGGTCATTTAAAGACCAACAATGAAGTTCATTACTTGAATTTCTCTACATCAGCTGAACTGGGCAGAAAGCTATTTCCCACTTGTAAAATGTATTTCCTGCTTAATATTGTGCAGGCATAAGCTTGAGTGCTTGTAAGGCAGTGGTTAAAGAGCCAAAATCTTGAAGACAAGATACAGATTTACAAAGTACATGGATATACATCCTCATAAGATCAAGAGCAGCCATCCACCAGTGCAAAGCTTCAATTCTCTATACAGAATGGTACACCCTTCCCAAAACTAGCCGTATGTTCAAAGAATGCCTAACCTAGAAATAAGAATGTTTTGAATCTGCAGAAGTTACCACAAGCTTGTCAATGACATGCTACTTACTTGGCATCTCAGCTAGTGACACAGAATCCAAAATTGTTTTTCAAGCACAAAGAAACTTATGTGAGTGAAAGGAACAATCAGAATTTCAATTTATTTGTATAGTAAATGTGTACATGATATGGGATGTTTTTCCTTTTTATTTTTTAATGTAAAAAAAAAAAAAAAAGAGAGAGAGAAAGCTCAAACTCACATCTCCAAGATCTTGATAATACCAAGAAGCTGAAGAATCACTCTACAACTAAGATAAAAGGCATCTTCAAAAACATATTAGAAAAAATATCTGTGCAGCTAGTCTAACTACAGACTACTTGTATATTGGATGAGAAACATGGAAATGCAACAGAAAAGATCCTGAAAACATTTTTTTTTTTTTAAATATAAGTGCAAAATAGTATTTCAGTGTGACAATTACAGGACCTCTACTTAGCAGTTTAATGGACATCTTGGGGAGAAGGTAGTAATGAAAAAGAATTTCAGATTGAAATAACATTTTTCTGCTCTCAAAGTATATATTATACTTCTACTCCCCCAAAAAACAGCAAATGAAAGCACAGAACTTGCTTCATAGAGTTCTAGTAGTCTGCCATCTTCTGGAGTTTCTGAGAAAGTGGAGGAAAAGCAAGCTAAGCACAGAGAAGAGAACTCTTAACTGCATAATACATCTGCAGCAATGAGCAGTGGAATGACCTCAGAGAAAAACTATCATCTGTATTTTACATTCCCTCAGAAGCTAAGAGACCATTGTGGCAGCCAAGTGTGGAAATAAGTCTGAAAAACCTGAATCAAAACCTTAACAAGAACAACAAAGTGCCTTATGTCTGCATCCCACATCACACTAGAAACACTTACCTGCATGGATGAACTGAGCACATGGGAGGTGGAGGAAGGTGAGGATGGTTTTCAATGGTCACAGTTTTCTTGACATGATCTTGACTAATGTCTTCATACATATGCTCTACTGTTAAGGGCTGCCGTTGCTACAAAGAAAAAAGGAACATTCCATCAAAAGCATTACTAAAATAGAATTTTTTACTGCTTCTTAGTAATTCTAGCATCATGAACATATGTAGTACCATAAGTCACAAGTACAACAGTTCTGAAAGTACACTGAAAATACAGATTGTGTTAAAATTCATACGGTGTTGAAATAGTACTACCTTGCTTATAGTATATGAGGTGAGTGGTAAATTCTATATATGATAACCAAGGCCCTGGTTCCCATCTATGTACCTGAGTCATAAGCCCTCATCAAGTTTGATTCGAGAAACTTAGCTAGTAAAAGGGAAATGATTTATCTAATCTTTTTAATCACAAAAACACATCTGTTTAGTTGTCTGAATTGACAGGGGTTATTTCTCTTAGCTCTGTAGAGCAATAGCTTAAAAAATAATAGTGCACAATCCCCCTTTTTCCAAATATGTTTAGTTATCAAGTACAATTTTTCAATGAAATAACTTCTGTGTCCTGCAATCCTGACTGCATAATGGCTTCCTCACCATTTCTTCCTTTGAATTTGCACTGTGATTTAGAAAGTAATAACAAAGTAGCCTTGTTATCTGACATGGTCTCATTTCACAGAAGTGGGAAAACAAATAAACAAACAAACATTGCTATACCTCATCATATCCAAATAACCAGAGCCTTGGAGTTTGGTAATACTTGTCGTAAGTGATGTAGAGGTCATAAGTTCTAGTCTGTAGAATAGCATCTTCCCCTCCAACATCAACTTTAGCTTTGTTAACTTCTACAATCTGTCTTGTGTCAAGTGTTGCCTGGTTTTCAAGGTGAAAATGATAACATTAGTATAGTCTTGTTTGTATTCCCTCTTGTCCCACCCTATGCAGCTAGATAGGGCTGCAAGATCAAAATAAATGTTCTTTGGTGAACATGAAGAAATACAGGCTTTTAGGTTTTGTTTTCAATCTTCAAAGGAGGAATATAAATTTCTCTCCACTTTTTTTTTTTTTTTTAAAGACACAATTTCTCAAGAAAACTATGTTGTCCCACCCTCTTCCCTTCTTCCAGCAAAAACTTTTAAACAAAAAAGACAATCCCAATGAAATTCACAAGGCAGGTCTCAGATTATGCAGGTTTCATGAAACCACAGAAGAGTGCCTCCAAATAATGATGCCCCGTCTTCCCTTATTAGATTCTGGAGTGTGCATATAATTAACTGAACCTATAAGCCACTCCGTCCACCACATACAAGTTTTAGAACAAACACCAGACTTCATAATTCTTGTGAATTGAGCATAGTATGTAAGCATAGCAAAGCAGAACAGCAAAGAAAGCAAAATTATTGTGATCAAAATTTTTAAGGACCTAAGAGTTAAGGTAGTCAGGAAGGAGACAAATCTATAGGAAACCAAGCTCAGGAATCCCACTGCTCTTAATAACCTTATGTGAGCCACTTGTCATCCTTATTTTTACTTTGCTTGTGTTCATACTGGCCATAAGCATTTTAACAGACAAGATGGAACAGTTCACTCACATCATCTGTCTCCAGTAGCCCACTTTCTTCATACTCTGAAAAGATGACACATAAAATTCTGTGTTCAGTTCACAGCTAGTTGTCATATTTCTCATTCTCACTGTCACACGTATATAAATATGTTTTACTCACATAGATTTCCCAACCCCCAAACCAGACTAAGCCTTTTTAATACGAATGTGACAAAGCCTACAAGTACATGATAAACAATGCTTAAACAAGTGGTTTTTAGTTGACAGATTAGGTGCAGCCATGTAGCAGGAATGAAACTATGCTAAATTCCTAATTTTTCTTTGCTTCTGTGTTGCTACTCAAACCTATTTGCCTGTCATAATCATTAAGATTTCATCATACAAATCAAACATGCATCAATAAGACCATACAAAAGATAATAAAGGAGATCTGCCTGCTGATTATTGTTAGCATGCATTCTGTAAAAAGAAAGTAGCATTCTCTTAAAGAGTACCACTATAGCTAAAGGCCCGAAACAAAGCGCATCCCATTCAATTAAGGAAATACCTTCCATGTCTGCAGCTTCTCCTTCATCTTCCTCGTCATCATCTTCACAGGATGCTGATCGCTCTGGTATTTTTATATTATCCTTTAGATAAAAAGTAAAAATTGAAAGCACTGCTTTAAAGACAGCTGCATTTAAGATGCATCTATATAGCCTAGTAGCCCCAGCAAATCTCAAGTATTTAGGTCCAGTCAAAACAGCCATTCAAAAAAATATAAAAATAAAAATAAATAAATTTTTTTAAAAAATCTGCAATACTAACAAGGACTATACTGAACTCAAATATTTGCTTTAAAAATCAACTAAAAACTTCTCCTTTGACTTTGTAGAGATCATTTCAGAATAATTCTTTTTATATGCAAAGAATAATCACAGTATTACACAGCCATAATTTATTTTCAAATACTACTTGCCTCAAATGAAAGCCTACAACCAGACATGTAGATTAAGACTTTCTATAAACTAACCACAAACAAGCCTTCAAAGTGCCTATGGATAACATTTGAATCCAACAGACAATTCCAGAGAAGTTCAGAGAGGGAGGCCTCAATTTATGTCAGTTCATGAAGACTTCAACAGAATACTCAAAATGATGATTAGAATTAGGAGCTGCTCTAATTATAAGTTTCCTCACAGGAAAACAAAACAAAACAAAACATAATCAGTACATAACTATGTCATTGAGTACTTTGGCAAACGGTATATAAGCAGAAAAAGATGTGTCATTCTGGATTGGCCCTGTGCTCCAAGAAATGAAGTGCTCTACAAGCAGATTTTTTTTCTAAGTACAAAATAGAAGTGAAATCATTAACACAACAGCAGTTACACATCTGATAAGGTTCTACAATTACATTCTGTAGAAACGCCAGTCACCTCTAGGTGATTCTTAAGAGTGTTTTTTCTACCTTTACGGAACTGAGTTGTCAAAAAGCAGTATTTTTACAGTGTTCAGTACAGTTTCACTTGGATGAATTTCACAGTTAATCACATCAAGAGTATGAGTTGCTTACAATTGTCGGTTCTCTTTCCATCTAATCTTCAGAATCAAAAGATTCGTGCTTGGATGGTTTCACACATTCTTAAAGGACACAAATACAACTCAACTCGAGCGTTCATCATTAAAATCATTTCGCACCTTGTGACATTCTCCCCATCTCTTAAGTACATTAACTATTACACATATCCATTTCAATTTCTGTTTTCAGTTTCACGAGGCCTTAAGGTTCAGATTTGGATCCTGCTACTGAGTGATTTTTTGGAAACATACAGAAACTGATGACTCTGTAAGATATTTAAGCAGTGCTAGTATGTCAGCGAATGTGAAGGCATGAGTTCATCAAACAGGACTTACAGAGTTTAAATACCACTGCTAGTAAAGTTTAAAGATTATGAATAAATATTTCATATTCCTGCATTATTTTTCCACAATAAATAAATAAATTACATTGGATCACCAAACATCAGTTTCTTGAGAAACAAGGGGAGTTATCACCATAAATCCAGGTGCATTTTCTGTTTGTAGAAGTTTGGCACAAGAGCACACTAGTTAAACACAGCCTAAAAAGAACACCGCTCTGGTAAACACATGATAATATAGAAATACACATGCTTAAATCAGTATCACAAGCTATGAAGGTCAATGAATATCTGCAACACACTTAGTGACAAAGAGTATTCTAGACTTCCAGAAGCAATACTAGATTGCTACAGGGAAGATTTCTATTACCTTTATGTCCAATAATAAAGGAAAAGAAAAATTCCAAAGCGAGTACCTTACAGTCTAGAGTGATCTCCTTAACTGCTTCTGTTGCACCTGCTATACCTGTTAATTGAACAATAAGTTTGCATTAAAGAAGCCTGCTTCTTTGTTACAGAACACTACAACAAATGATGCATCTCAGAAAGCAGCATATAATCATTCCTATTACATCTCACAACAATTCGAAATATTTGAAAGGCCGTTTATTTGGTGTTGGTAGCATGCTTGGAGCTGGACATCCATAAACAGACCATGCTGGTAATGTACAGTACAATAGCACAGCTCTTATGCTGCAAACAAATTTTGTTGACAGAATAACTGCAAAGTAATTTGGATTTTTTATTTTAAGGATCATTGGCACAAAGAATGAATTCAGGATGGGTATTCTCTCAGCTTCACAAGCAAGGCAAGCTTCATTAGTTATTTCGAAGCATCTTGAAGGCAAAGTGTTGACAACAAAACCTGGTAGCACACAATGCTTTCAGCTGAGAGGACATGGAAGTCAAAAACACCCCAAATCACAGCAGTATCAACATTTCAACACCTCCCCCATTTGATTCCCAGTTTTATTATAGCACTCATTTGCTTCTCTTTGGGATACACGACAACATTCTCCTTTGAAACAGTAAATGAATCTTCTTAACTGCTCAGGTGAGAAGTTATATCATGAATGAATGAACTTGAAATCACTGTCTTGCAGAAATGCAAAAATGGACCTTAACTGTTTAGGGAAAAGGGATATCAGGTGAATGCTGATCAGAAACAATGCATTTCTAGTGGCAGTGTGATTGTATACACAGTTTTGCCCCACCCACAAAAAGTGTTGTTATAAAACTTATCAATACAGATAAAGGAAATAAATTTTTCTCTCTTATGAGTGTTCAGAGACCCACCTAGATCTAATTAGAAGTCTTGTAGCTGTATTAGCAAAGCATAGAAACCAAATCAGTCAACCCAAATAATCTCACCTAAATAAAACAAAAAAAAACCCACACCCAAAACTTGACAGAGCAGGGAAGGAGAAGGCACACTTAATTCAAGAATACGACAAAGCTATGTCTCACATCATTTCTTTGGGGAGAGGTGTTCAATTATGAAGAGCAATACAGTGAAGAATTTCCAGTGATCAAAAACACACATTTACAGAAGCAAAAGCATCTTCTTGCACCCCTGCTCTCCTCAGTATGGCTAAATTATTTAATGAGAGAAGATTTGCCAGAATACAGCAAAAGAAATGACACTGAAAAAAGTAAAGCTGACTGAAATATATTCCAGCTTTGGAGGCAGTAGAAGACAATGTAATTGAAAGACTGAATTTAATTAACTCATTACAGCTCAAGAAGAAATGGATTAAAACTAATAAAACTGCCATTTCTCAGAAAAGGACAATGTAGTTTACAAGAAGCTGTGCTAGACAGGATCACAGAATCACAGAATCCTAGAATGGCCCGGGATGGGAGGAACCTCAAGGATCATCAAGCTCCAAATCCCTGTCACAGGCAGGGCCACCCACCTCCCTATCTAATACTAGACCAGGCTGCCCAGAGCCCCATCCAACCTGGCCTTGAATACCTCCAGGGATGGGGCATCCACAGCCTCTCTGGGCAGCTGTTCCAGCACTCATCCCTCTGCTGGTAAAGAACTTCCCCTGATATCCAACCTAAATCTTCCCTCCTTCAACTTAAAACCATTTCCCCTTCTCCTGCCATTATCTACCCTTGTAAAGAGTTGTCTCCCCTCCTTTATGTAGGTTCCCTTTAGGTACTGGGAGGCTGCAATGAGGTCACTCTCCAGCCCTCTCTTCTCCAGGCTGAACAAGTCTGATAATGAGACATCCATGTAAGCAATAATTTTTAGACACAAGCTTATTAAAAATAAAAAGGGATCATCTTTCATAGTGACCACCTTATTTAACAATATTTTCAATTCCTCAAATAACATCAGATACTAAGAGCTGTTTTCTAATTGTTCCCCTTTTTACTCAAACCCAACAAATTAACAAAATGGGAAATACTACAATCATTAAGGCTCTTTGCATCATCATTTAGATCTCAAAATCCTTCACGTGCAATCAGACTAAAAGTAGAACTTAGTACGTTCTTGAAATATATTTTAAACCAGTGTTCTCTTTAAGAGAAGATCTCCTTGCTAAAGAAAGAGCCAGTACACAGCTCTTAGCTTCACCCCCTCCCAATAACTTCCTAGAACTTTTCTAAAAGAATACCAAAATAATTAAAATACTGTTGACATCTCTGAAAAGCAGCCTATTTCAGACACATACAGACATACAGCTAAATACATGATACAAGCAGTCATACAAAAAGCACAAAGTGGGTTTCTGGCACAGTAACATTCTTTCTTACAGATTAGATACTAATACACAGTCAACCGCATGAGAAAGATTTTACTTTCTAATAGTGGAAACTGATAATCTTATTGATTACCAAATGCAAAGTTTGAAGCAAGACTCTGAATACCTGCATTGTGAAAGGTGTCTACCCATCCCCCATCACCATCATCTTCTTCTATAATTGCTTCCTGCTCATCTGAGTACTCCATCTGCTTGCACCTTTTGTAGCACGGTACTGCAAAAAATTGCAAAACAAGATGACTGCAGCCATTCCTATACAAAATCAGATCGATGCAACTAATTTTTCTACAAGGTCTTCTGAAATATAGCTAGCTCATATCTTTATTTAAGGAATCCTAGATACATATTTCAAATGAAATTAATTATGTTGATGAGCTGTAAGTGTTGTTTTATCTCACTACAACACATCACTTGTTTGAGTTGCTGCAAGTTCATTCTTCTTCTAACAATTAGAACTTTACCCAAACTCACGAGTACCAGAAATAAATTAACTTCTTGTGTGTCTTTATGCTACCTACTCACTTGCTAACAACTAAACTACTGCTAAACGCTAAAATATTTCTAGTTCAAGTACAACTTTGCCTATATTACCATCAGTTTACTGAGCCGGTTTGTCTCTAGAACTCTTTTAAAGTTTGTATCAGATATTTACTGTTAAACATACCTAATTTATCATGCTAATTAACATCTACAAGTTTGGAAGAGGCTAGAATTAATATGTTAATTAAAGTAACTTCAGTCATATATATTATATTGCCACTGAAGTACACATTTAAATAGAATTTTCAGAAAACAGTCACAGAAAATGCGGATCCAGTTAAGACAAACCAAACTCTTTCCAATTGCATAAACAAGCAGTACAACAAAAATATTAATTTTTAGAAAGACAGAAGAAGGCTTGAAAGTCACGGTGAAAAAACATTCTCCAAAGACTTCCAAGATGACGCCTGTAGAGTGGCTTTTGGCTTCACCCTTAGCCCACAACTTCAACTTAGGTGCTTGGCCAATGCATCACTACCAGCAGAAATAGCACAAATATATTGCTTTAAAACGTGGCCTAGAAGCTCACAGCAATGTGGTACTCTGGAAGGAGTAGAAAAGATAAACAAAGTAGATCACCTGGTCATTCAGCTATCAAGACTATCTCACTGAAATCTGTCCAACACTAGCACTAACATCTTCATATGATAGTTCCTATAGTTTCCTGCAAGACTTTAAAAGCTTGCAAGTGACATCAAAGCATGAAATACAACTTCCTGCAGGTAAAAAACTTTTGAGGATCTTCATAGTATTGCAGGTACTTCTAATTACACTATCTTTGACACATTTTAATACAAAATCTTTCAAGAAAACAATTCTACCATGGTAGTGCCAATGTACAACATTGTACAGGTTTCTCCTGTATTTCATTAAAAAGATAGTCATCACAAATATTATACATACATACAACTGTGAATCTGATGAAAACTGGATTTAAAATTGTATTTTATATAATCGTTATTGAAAGGAACAGTGACACCAGTTATGTATTCCAACTAGAAGCATTGGTATGACAGTTCTGGGAACGTCAATAACCCACAGTTTCCAAAAGGAGGAATAAACAGAAACATATTTAAACATATTTCTGTTTAAAAACCAATTATGATCTGAAGGGTGGGGAAAAAAAAAGATAGACAAGGAGGTTTATGGAATTTATGCTTCATTTTTACTTCATCAAAAGAAACTGCAGTGCTGGTATAAAGTCCTGGTAACAACAGATAAAAGAAAAAGATTTTAGATGTGCACAAAAAACTTCTAATATCACAAGGACAAAATATGCTTCAAATGTCAATACAGGCAATGAGTAGACAATGACAGCACAATCAACTGTCCTAAACACACTTGTATTTAAACTTCAGCCTTACCATTTTTAGTTACCAAAAATTGTTTGTCTGTTGGCAGATAAGCCTTGACTTTTAGCTCTTCTCCTGAAGCCCTGCAAAACAAAGTGCACCACAAAAAGGTTGGGAATTTGATGACACGCAAGCAAAAGAATTCTACTTTCAATCTACATCAAGAGTATTGTATGTACTCCTTTTGAACTTTTCACAGAATTTGTTTGCTATGACTTTGCCCTTGGCTATATACAGACTTTGATATCTGTATGAGATCAAAAAACATTGGCCATTCCTAAACTATCAAGTCTTGGATTACAAATATTTTCTGCTTCAACAACCACCTTCACTTTGAGATAGCCAAGCAAAGATGGGTTGACAAAACAATCTAGTCTATAAGAAACATACTAGAATCTGCAATAACATACTACCAAGCATCTCTAGAAAGCAATTTCAGAAAAAGAAATGGAAGTTATAAAACCTGTCCATAGTAACCAGAGCTCCAGTAATTTTGCTAAGCTCACATTATTCAGAGTGCTTTCTTTTACCTTCCTTGCCTTCTGGTTTCTAATCTTCTAAATAGCCTGCTGCAAACAGTGTGCTTAAAGCTTATGCACAGACCTGATTCAACATCTTATTTTTTCTGAAGACAATAAAAAAGGCAAGAAACTGATTCAAGTATAACAATTCTTTATCTGTTCATGGTCCACTATACCAACTGCACAGAATAATTCATTTTATAATGCAAGATACTAATAAAATGTAAGAAAGTACCTTATTTGCACCCCCACTGTGTGTGAATAACAAGGGATTTCCCAGAACAAGCACAGCACAAAGCAACCTGGTGTGGGTCAACTTGAAAATATTTAACCAAACTCTTGCTTAAAACATACCAATTACAATTTGTTCTTAGCAATTCTGTTTGGACATGGTCTTTGCTTTTTTTTAATCACCAAAGACAAACTTGGGAAGAGACACTGATTGCTACTGCAGCTAAATACTGAAAGCATGCATGGTACGTACAAGTTAATTTCCACCAGAGCCTTTGGAGAACAATAACAACAATAAAAAAAACACCCACAAACAAATCCTTATTTCCCCTATTGCTACAAAGAACAATAAAAAAGACCTGTTTGACTTATCATATATCTTCATCATAGAGATAGAGTAGATTGTACTGCAAGAGTCAGAGTACTATTCTGAAATGAGACAATTGTTGTATCCAATGGAAACACATCAAAGCATAGGTAGGGATGCTAACTTTATGCAATTCTTTTGTGTTTACTTACCATTGCCAAGTAGGACAGTGGTGAACTAAGTGATCGCCAGCTGCGACAAACTGTTAAGGCAAGAAAAAATTAAAGAACTGTTAAATATAGTGTAAGAAAGCAAAGTGCAATTCCTGCAATACTATTTATATTTCAGTTGTATATTCCTCTGATACTTATTACATAGTTAATCTGTTTATACTTAGTTTGATGCTTTCTTTAAACTATTTTTCAGCTAATCATAAAATGACTTACAAAACTAAATCAACTTCACCTGAATGTATACTAATCATTATTTCCTAATCCAAGTTACATCATTGATTTTGTGAAGAATAAATTATTTTTATTTGCTACTCTTCATGTTTTACAAAGACATTGAAGAGATTAATATGAGATGAATAACTGAACTTAAGCTTTCCATCCAAAATCAACTATACTTTATCTACTTTATGTATATTTATTTGAGTTTCAGCTACAAAAAAAAAAAAAAAAAAAAAAAAAAAAAACTTTAATTCTCTTCTAGTATTCACAGCAATTTTGCAGCAAGAACACAAAGTGAGACTGTCACTACTTCATTGAATTAGTAAGAGAACAGCAACAGAGGAGTAAACAGTATGCTTTAAGAACTGAACACCAACCACCATATTTCACCACTGGCATTTTACTGGTTAAATTATGTAGAACTTTGTTCCAAAGAAATAACTTTTAAAAATCTTTATTCTACTTTTTCTTAGTATCAAAGATAACAGCTATTTCATCATGCAAAAACGGTACCAACTCATAATACACCCAGCATATTCTAACCCACTGGGCCTAGTTTTCCTGCACAAACTGAAAAGGAAATCTGCATTTAACAATAATTTCTGTGCTCCATGCACTAGTTCAATTTGAAAAGAAAGTACACATGTAATGCTACAGTTGTTTCCTTCTCTTAGAATGCCAATTTACAACAACGTATTTGTAAGCTGCCCACAAGGTGCTATGGGGTGACACAGCAGGCTTGTAGCATAAGCATCAGCCATTTTCTCACTGTGCCTTCCAATGCAAGGTCAGAGCATAGTGGAAAACATCAGATCATGTACTGCATGTGACTTTAGCAGATCTGATCTCTGCAAAAGCGAACCGTTTCAACCATTCTCCAAGAGAAGCCTCTAGTTGAAGTGAAATTTTCAATTTAAGGAAAACAGTAATCCCTTCCAACACACAGGGAAATTAAAAAAAGAAAAAAAACAACAAATACAAGCATTAGGCTTTATGTAATAATAAATACCACATGGAACTCCAGAATCATCTAAAATTCTCCGTCCAGTGACAGAGAGACTTGCAGCTCCACTCTGTTAAAAGACATTATAAGATGAAAAAATTCAAAGGGTTCTTTGCAGGTCTTGTAATGCAAAAATCTAAAACAATCTCTAACTTTCACTTGCATTTTTCTTCAGCTTGGACTGCATAATTAAATTAGGTGGTTTCACTTTCTATTTCTACTGTGCTACTGCTATCATACCTTAACCAGTAACACAAAAGTGACAAGAGAACAATTTTAGGACAACATCTTACTTCTACTCTTGAAAACAATGATTTTAAAGATTTGCTCATGCTCACATATGAAATTTAAAGGGCTATCTTTATGAGTTATTAATTAACAAGAACACCTGACAGGCAAGAACTTGCTAAAATTAAATCAATTACACAGATACCGAAAAAGAGTACTAATGTTGAATTTGATTAGTCATCATTAGTATTATTATAGAATGGTTTGGGTTGAAAGAGATGTCTAAGACCACCCAATTCCAACCCCACTGCTATAGACAGGGACACCTCCCACCAGACTAGGCTGCTCAGAGCCTCACCCAGCCTGGCCTTGAATACTGCTAATAGATTCATCTTCACAGACAAGCCATAAGATCATAGAACCATTAAGGTTGGAACATACCAATAACATCATCCAGTCCAACCCCAACTCATCCCCACCATGTCAACTAAGTCATGTCCCTCCTCACAAAATTTACCACAGTGGTGAGTATCTCAGACTATGATGCAAGAAAAACAAGTTAAATTGAAATTCATTACTCGGGAAACCCAAACTAATTCAAAGATAACATCCTAGCATCACGGGTGACTTAAACTCTTTAGCAATCACTATTCTATAAAGAACAAAACCATCAGTGAGTAGAAAAGGCTGTCAAAGAGACAATAAGCAGATACACGCTTCAGTCCCACCGAAGTTTAAGAAAACAATTTGTGTTGCTAGATAACCATTTCTCTTGAGTACAGCTTTGAAGGATTCAATTTCTTCATCCTATCAGCATCTGTGTTTTCACAGATAATACATACTATTTGCATTATTTTACTGACCCATAAATAGTGCAAACAGCTTAATGTGGCACAGAGTGGTTCTTGCCACTACAGAAACTAATCTTCTACGGAGTTCCTTCCTTCAGATCAAGAAGGGATTAGGCACTAGTACATTCATTTACACTTTCTCTGTAAAGTTATACTTGTTTTTTATATACAGAAAATAAATATATTAGTATGTAAAATATATAACCATCTACACACACCTATACTATTATCAATACAGCAGAACACTTCATTACTAAGCCTGTTCTTCTGAGTACTACTCTTCTGGATGACAGAGAGCACAAATGCTTGCATGTCTCATAACACAGCAGAAAAATATTAGCTACCAACATTAGGAAAAACACTCCTGCCCATACTAGCTGCAGTTGGTTCAATTTCATCTTCACATTTGTAAGTCATCACATTTTCCTTTCATTCTACCTAACACTGTTCAGTAAGGACAACGTATTTTCAGAACAGTAGCACTTTAATGTGAGAAGAAGCAAAACCAGGGAGCCCAAACAGCACTGCATATTCAGGTTTTTTTTTTCTTTTTTCTAGAAAAATTCTTTTTTTTCTTCTTTAAAAATTGCAATTGCTTGGCAGCATGAAGAAGCCTAGGAGAGGGGGGAAAAAAGAAAAAAAGACAAAAATAAAAGCTTCAAATGCTTACTGTGGGCAAGAATATATAATGATTTAACCACAGTCTTAGAAGGAACCAAAAGCGAGGTAAGCGAGATACTGTACTATAACTTATCTCATGAAATGTTTATGGGAAAGGCCTTTGAAATAAACATATTCCTGTTAACTCCCAAGGCAAACGGAGCTGCTGACCCAGCAAAAACTTTCTTACTAGTGTTTTAGGACATAATATAGGAAAAGACATCCAACATTCAGATCTCAAGAAGAATTCTGATGCTAATCTACTTCAACTGTAGGGTAAGAAGGCCATTTAGAGCTTTTACATTGTGAAAATTGTTTCAAGAAGGAATACTTAACTGACAAAGAAGTAAACTGTTTGAGATGAGCACAGTCACTTTGAGTAAAAATTATCAGTACTTTCACATTTTCCAAATGTATTTCAAAGGTTCTAAATACTTACTTCTTCAGGTGTAATGACTCCAGTTTCTTTAAATTTGGACTCCTGCAATAAAGAAAAGATAGAGATTTTGAGCTTGGCTGGCAAATCAACATACTCACTTTACTGGTGACAAAAATATCTGCTCAGTCCACATAGATCTGCAAAGCAGCTTGGAGGCAGCCTCTGCTTATGCTCCATATCCTATAACATAAGGCCTGATAATATTACTTTGTAGCAGACTTGGGGGGGGAGGGGAACGAGGTTCATGATAAGATTACAGAGTTGTTTTGTTGGTAGTGGTTTTTAATTTATTCTTTTTTGCTTTTGATACAGTCAATTATGTCAATAATAATAAATATATTATAAAAATAGTAAGAAAAAGAAAATAAGAAAAAGAAGACACCTTACACTTTATTACATTTACCAGTTAGAGACAGAAAAGTAGCTGGAAATAATGATTTTTAGAATAACAATTTTGAGACTGCTTAAAACACTGAATGACAGTGTAATGCATCAATATGTGGGTTTCTAGGTAAGAAAGGTCATGAAATGAAGGACTGAACAACTTCTACCTGTGGTAAGAAAAGTTGCAATGAATCTGTTACTAGCTTTTTTTGTACCCCTTTTGATGCCTTCATTATACACACTATAGAATCAGTTATGATTACAACAGATGGCAAACAGCCACGTGATTTTGCCTAGAAAAATTAAGAACTTTTGCATTAAAGACAACATCTATGAAGCTTAAGGCTACATTTTCAGCGTAATCAAATTTGGAGAGAGAGTCTTCTGCTTATGATTCACTTACGTTTTTTCATTCAGAAAAGCCTCAAGGAAACCTACTGTTTTCCAGCTATTTAAGAACAACTTTTCAAAGGATATAAATTTCAAGGATGGCATAGCTCACTTTTCAAGTCATCAATTACTACGAAACTTCTTGCCCTGAAAAACCTATGATTCTTTCCATCAAGACTAAAAGCAGCAAACACAAAGGATTTTATGTTTGGCTACAACTTCAGCAGGTTCAGTCACTAGGAAAGCATTAAAGAAAACCAGCTGCTGCTCAACTTAGTTCTTTCTTGACGCTTGACTCTGGTGCACACTGCCACCTGTGCTATATAAAAGAAAACAAGCACACCTATTTCATAGAATCATAGAATCACAAGGTTGGAAGGGACCTACAGGATCATCTAGTCCAACCATTCTCCCATTAACACTGCTACCACAAGCCAATAAACCATATCTCAGCTCCTCATCCAGACGTCTCTTGAACACTGCCAGGGACAGCGACTCCACCACCTCCCTGGGCAGGGGAGGTATTCATGAATACCTGATTCCTTTATCTCCCATTATGTCTCTAAAGAAGAGACATTTAAGCGAATGATTAATGGTAAACAAACTGGTTGTTGTGCAAACATCACTATATGCACTGCTATATGCAGTTAACAAAAATCAAGAACACCTAAAGAACCACAATTTAACAATTTGGACTACTGTAAAAATTGAGAATTCCTGATAACATATTATTATGTAACACCTCATTACAGTGTAGTTATTACTTAACCTCAAAATTATCCATACACATTATGCAACAAGAACAAGCTCATACTTCTGGAATTACATTAGGAAAAATGTAAAATAACCACTCTCTGTTCCCAGAGGGTAAATAGTTCACTTTTTTTTAATCTATGTGCATCCTGTAGTATGCAAGCCTAGCATGAGACACAGTAGCTAAAGTCAACTTCTGAAGTCAAGAAATCATAATTGCTTAAATCCCCTTGCAAAGGGAATACATACATGTTATCATCACCTCCCACTCATGAGAAGTTCCACAGCCTCCCAGCACATCTGAGCATAAAAACTCCTCCGCTATTCACATAATAAAATACCAGTTGTGCAACAGCCATACTACAGTGAACAAGCCACATTTTCACACAACTTCACAGCAGCAGACGGGCCGCACTGGTGGTGAAACCTACAGAGACACACTATCCAGGCAGAAGCATGTCATTTGCTTTAAAGGGACAAGTTCAATTAATAATTGCATATCACCATCTTCTGTCCAAGGATGCAGGTTGCACAGTACAAGTCATGTAGAAGGTCACGCAGCCAGAGAGCTTGCTGTTGTAGGCAATTACAGCAGACATACAAGGGTTGCTCCAGAAGTAATGCCTCCTATTTTATTAAGTTGGTCTACAATGTCAGAGGCAGATGTAGGTGATATGGCAGTAGGGGTTGAACCTTCCCACCAATATTCCATTCCATTTGGTTGCCGTGTGACAGATGGCAGCAGAGGGGAAGTATGATAAAATGGTGTCTGACCTAGGAGTGTGGATGAAACAAAGATGTGCCACTGAATTCCTCCATGTAGAAAAAATGGCTGCCGCTGACATTCATCAATGCTTGCTGAGCATTTCCGGAGACCAAATAGTGGATGTGGTGACCTTCTTTACGGTGAGGGTGACGGAGCACTGGAACAGGCTGCCTAAGGAGGTTGTGGACTCTCCTTCTCTGGAGATATTCAAGACCCACCTGGACACCTACTTGTGCGACCTGGTGTAGAGAACCTGCTTTGGCAGGGGGTTGGATTCAATGATCTCTGGAGGTTCCTTCCAACCCCTATGATTCTGTGATTCTGATGTGGACACGGTGAAGTGGTGAGTGGTTTGCTTCAGCAGAGGCAATAGCTGGTCATCTCCAACGATGCAGATTCTGATGAGTGGCATGCAGGCTCTTGTTCATTACTGGCAAAAAACGCACAGCTAATGCTGGTGCCTACATTGAGAAATCATGATTTGCAGCCGAGTATTTTCTCTGTCAAATAATGTTATTGTACTCACTTCATCTGTTGTAGTTTCCACAGAAATAAATAGGAAGCATTACTTTCAGAGTGACCCATGTATTTTAATAAAAACATGGAAAAAGTCTGAAAGTCAGTAGTGAGAGAACTGCTGGGAAGTTATATATTTCCATACAAAGTCAAGTTTTGAAGAGGAAAATACTGGTAAACAGAAGGTAGAATATATTACAGAGCTGAGAAATGGAGAAAAAATTAAAAAATCACTTCCTACCTACCTAAACAAGCAGGAATAGACGTGCTGTACACCTTTATAAGCACATTACTAGAGGAGACCATGAAGAATTTCTACTGTTTGCTGTTACATTGTGCAGACACTTCCATTTATTTAGCAATGCTATACAGTCAGCCATGTTACACAGCTTTGTATCTGCACGCATAACGGAGACGTGACAAGTTTGTTTCTTTCTGTCAGCTGAGAAAGCTGCACTCTTACCCAAAAGACCTACTGCAACCCAGCCCTGAAACCACGCTCAAGCCTACCACTGCACAAGCGCACTTGGCTTCCATCCCTGCTCACACAGGCGAACGTTCAGCCACTTCAGCACAAGCCGGTGACAGCAGACAAGCCGTTCCCCCAACAACCCGCAGCCTCCCGAGGCCTGCCACCCCCCTCACCCCCCAAGGGATGCTCCAGCCCAGACGGGACGCAAAGCGCAGCTCAACCCCACGGAAGCAGGCAGCCGCCCGCTCCCTCCTTAGGAGCCAATTCGCAGAGGCGGGGCGGCTCCCTCACGACCCCCGGGCCGTCAGCGCGGCCTTCACAGAGAGAGCCCCCCCCTCCCGGAGCGGCCCCAACGCCTAGCAAGGGAACGCGTTGGGATCTCCGCGCAGGCCGGCACCTTGAGGACGGGAGTCAGGTACTCGGCCACCTCCAGGGCCTTCCCCTTCACCGTGTTGATGACGTTCTGCATCCCGCCGCCGCAAGGCCACGGGAACGATCGCCGCAGCCAACGGTCACGGCGGCACCGGCAGCCCCGCCCCCTGCTCCGGCCACGTGACCCGCCGCCCTTCCCCCTCGGCTCCCCGCCGCCCAGCCCCGTCGCGCACACGCGTGCCAAAGCGCGCATGCGCAGACGTAGACCAAGACGGGAAGCCGGCGGCTTTTCTTGCGCGCGTCCCCCAGAATAGACGTAAGCGTCATGTGGTGGGGGGAGAAATCCGGAACTAAGCCTGGGTCACGTGGGCAGTTGTCATGGAGAATGAGGCGGCGGAGGAGGGGCGGTCAGGGGGCGCGTGCTGCCGCCCGTCTCGGGGGAGGGCCTCGCCCCGTTCGGCTCCGCCTCGGCAGGTGAGGCCGGCGGGGGAGCGGGAGAGGGGGAAGGTGCTGGGGATGAGCGCTGGGAGAAAAAGAGCGAGCGGGAATAGGGAGAAGTCGCGGTCTTCGTTCCCCATCGGCGACGGGTGCGTTTGACGGCGGCGTCGCCGTGCCCGGTGCCGGGCAGCTGCGTGCGGGGAGGCGGGGAGCCGTGCCGGGCTACGGCCGAGGGCGGCGGGAACGGAACGGGGAGAGCCGAGCGTCGGGTGCGCCTTGCCGGTTCCCCGTCTCGGCGGCGGCCGCCTTCTGCGGGCCCGGCGGAGACGTGGCAGGGAGCGGCGAGCGCAGCTGCGCGGCTGAGGCGCAGCCGCTGAGGCGGAACGGCGCGAGGCGAGCGACCGTTGACAGCTGGTGCCTGGCGGTGCCGGGGCCGCCGCCCTTCCGTCTTTCGTTAGCGGGCGGCTGAACTGCGGAAACGGCCGCCTGGAGCGCGTGTGGTAGCGGACGAGCCGCAGGCGGCCCTGTGCAGCTGTGTCTGCTGCGATTGGGAACAGGAGCTGTTTGTGAAAGAGATCGAGGCCGGCTTGGGTGGAACCCTGGGCAGCCTGGGCTGGTGGGTGGCAACTCTGCTCGCAGCGGGGAGTTGGAACTGGATGGGCCCTTTCAGTCCAGCCATTCTGTGGTATACGTACATGTATATTCAAACATAAGCATCCTATAGAGAAATAAAACTGTAAGTTATTTACCTTGTTCATCTGGTCAGTGTTCCGTAGATATCACTGTGTATGTGAGGTGTTAATTCCCCCCCTTGCTGATCCTCATAGCGCATCTTTTTCCCTTTGAAATAAAATGTTGACTGTAGTATGCAATCATGGCTCTCAAAACAAACTATTTTGTTTGAGATAAAGCAATAAAAGGCACATGTTTCACCTCACCTTATCAGCTTCTGGAAGTGCTGTTTATAGCGTATGTGTGTTGTGTCATCCAAAGGGCACTGACAGCAAGGCAGCAGAATGGAGAGCAAGTGCTGTCGTCGCTCTGCAGTTTGCTCCAAGACAACCATCTACACCTTTCTACTTGGAGGAGTCTTCATTGCTCTGGGCTCAAGTCGAATCCTCCTGATGAAATATTCTGCTAATGAAGGTATTGTTAGACAGTAAACATAATGAATTTCAAATAAGAGTAGTTATTTCAGGTGTAGCGGATACCCCAAAACCTAGTTTTCCACCTTGTTTTTTCATTATATAAACTGAGGCATAAATTTCATTGTGTCTAATATAGAGTAACAATTTCAGGTTGCAAGATATCTGATCCAGTTGAAGATTAGCCTCAAAAGATGAGACAATAGATTACTTTATAGCTGATTTTCAGATATTAAGCTGTGCGAGCACTGTTAGTGGTGCATGACCAATTTATTTGTTTCACAACATCTTTAGGAGAAGATGCAATAGTAGTGTGCTATCTTACAGCAAATGTTAGAAAATTCTGCTATCCTTTCAGCAAACGTGAGCAAAATATGCTATCAGAGAAAAGATAAAATCCCCGAAGTAGGTTGTGTCATCCTGGAAGCTTTCTCCTACTAGGAAAACATACTGTATCACTGTGTGGGGGAAAATATTTCCTGGTTTTATTGTTTTAAGAATGATGGTTAGTTCTTCAAAAAAAATGTACTGTAAACTGAGAGCAAATGAGGAAAGGTTTCAGCCCAGAAGGGTAACTGACGTGTCAAAATCTGAGTATTTGTAATAGAAGTGCTAATGCTTTGTGTTTATGAGCAGGGGCTCTAATTCTGACTGAAGGAGTTAAAGTATTTCCTTTTCCAATTGTGAATGCAAAAGAAATCTGATGGTGTACTCTTTACAATTTGCTGAATCCCACAGATAACAAGTACGATTATCTTCCTACAACAGTGAACATATGTTCTGAAGTAGTAAAACTGTTCCTGTGTGTGATATTGGCACTATGGGTTAAGAAAAAAGGTGAGTACGTATGTTTTCAAGTAACTAAAATGTGTTGACTTGCTAAGATTTATTATACTTCATACCTTTTTTTTTTTTCTTCCCACTAATAGATTCACATGCAATGGCATGAAGTAAGTCCTGACAGTAATGTTTTCTGGGATGTTTTCGGTACACAATTATACCTATACTTATTATAACTCTAATTTGTGCATTAAATTCAGATGTTCTCAAGTTGTTTGTATGATAGCTAAAATGAGGATAATGAGTTGAGTTGGAAAGTGTAATTGAAGACAATCTAATCTTTTTTTGAATTTTAGCACAGCATTGGACTAGGGTAATAAGAGTTGCCTCACTGTGAAGATGTGACTGAAAAGAAGCTTGCTACTGGCTACCCTCTGGGTGCTAAATGAACAGATCCTCCATCTGTGCCATTATTTTTAATGTACATGAGATTGATAATCACCCGACACTGATGTGACTATTGTGTGGGGGCTTTCTGGAGTGCTTTTTGGTCCTCAAAGAAGGATTATGATGCATTTTTGCACCATAAATGCTCTGATAGGGTTAAAGGATTCTCTAAGCATTTTTTCTGCTGTTTCTGTTCAGCCCTAGAACAGAACAAGACAAAATGGCAAAAGGGGAAAAAAAAAAGAAAAAAAAAAAAGAGGAGAGCAGAGCTAGAGATTGCAGATTTTGTCTCCTGGTTCTAATTCTCACTTGAGAAACCCTAATGCAGGTTTCTGTCTTGTGGACAGATTAGCAAAATCTGCTTAGAGAAGTTGTGGAATCTCCTTCGGTGATATTCAAGATTTGTCTAGGTGCCTGCCTTTGTGACTTGCTGTCACTGTAGGGAATCTACTTTAGCAGTTTTAGCAGGTGGGTTGGACTCGGTGATCTCTAGAAGTCCCTTCCAATCCCTACAATTCTGTGATTCCTTCATAGTTTCCTTAGTGAAGCAAGGATGTGAATGCTTATAGACAATCGATTTCTGCTTTAGCTGTGTGTTCTGCCTTGGGGTTGTCCTCTGTGTTGACAGAGAACGGTGGTACCTATTCAAGGGGTTTCGAAATGGACTTCTGATAATACAAAAGTTGTTTTTCCTATTGATTTGTTTTCCTTTCAGAGGGCTGCTTAGATCATCCGTTCGGCTGTCTTTCCTGGAAGAATTTTTGTAATTCCATGAAATGGTCAATTCCTGCCTTCCTTTACTTTTTGGATAACTTGATTGTCTTCTATGTGCTGTCCTACCTCCAGCCAGTAAGTATGCATGTACTGACTGAAGTATCTTTCAGTGTGTTAATAATTGACAAGACTGACCGTAGGCTATCTACAGTTGCTACATTGACAATACAAGATTTGCGGGTAAATGAATCATCTGAACAGCTAGACCATCCTTTCTCCTGCCAGTGATTCAGTTCTATAGCTCTCAGTAGAGGAATGGTTCTGTGCATTTTCTCTATCCTAAGTGACTTAGGAATAGGCTGAAGTATGGAGCAGGTTTTTTGTGCTTTCCAACCTTTGGCTTTTTCAGTTCTGTATTTCTCTCTCAATGCATCTGCACATGTTGCTGGTGCTTGAGTTGCCCTTTTCTGTGTGGCTTCTGCCACTTTATTTACATGACTTCACGTGTTGACTTGTTTTCTTTCCTCAACAATTCCAAAGAAAATCAAATAAATGTAATCCTCCGAAGTGGGAAAAAAAGAGTAATAGGAAGTGAGTAGGAAAGGAATAAAACTGTTTGGCTCTCAATTTTTTACTTCTTATTTTTATGTAACAATATATTAGACTTAATTATGTTTAAACACGTTTCATTTATACTTTTTTCTAGCTACATTCAGCCTTCTGAACGAATCTACATATATTTGGGAAATGCGGTTTTATTGTGCTCTCTCTCTTTATGCTAGAGTACCTTTTGGCTCAGAATCTGTTTGAAATTTTGTGGAAGCAAATGGTTACTGCTTGCTATAAGATACCGTCTACTCTTTTTTACTATTAAAAATCTGTAACTTTTTCTGTTCATTCTCTTTCAGGATTTCCTCTCTAAAATAATGTCCTTTTAGATGTGCATTTCTGCTAGGGGTAGAACAGAGTCTAGAATAGGACCTGGCTGAAAAAAAAAAAAGATTAAAATGAATAATCCCCCTACAATTCTGTGACTCTGTAATCTGGTATTTTAAAATTAGTAGATGTTATTTTATTTGTGTTCTTTGCTTTGTTTTGGAGCGTGGAAGGAAATTCAGCTGTAACATTTATAATAGCAAAGTCTGATATTTAAAAGGCTACAGAATACTTATTGCTTTCTGAAACAGTTTGATTTGGCTGAGTTAAAGCAATCTTTTGTTAAATGTCCATTGCAGATTCTGTGTTGCATGCACACACCCACATGTGTTTACATGTAAAACTTTTCTCTCTTACTTTTCTTTGGAATTCTTAGTGTCTTTTATCTTTTACCTGGTGGGTAGATAAAACTGTAACACAATCATGGCTAACCAGACAGAAATAGCAAACGAGGTAACCAAATACCTGTAAGGTAGAATGCCTAGATGGAGTTACAGAACCCTCAAAGTGAAAAGGCAGATGCGAGATGACCAAAAGAAGGCAGCCATGCCTGGCTACACTTCATTTCATGTGAATTTTTAAACTAAATAGGTTTTGGACAATGTCATACTTAGGTGAGCAGGCATCTTGAGCGTAGAGTTGCTTTGGTGAGGTCTTTTCTCTTGAAGTTTCAGCAGTAACTGTGGTTATTCTTCAGTGTTTAATTTATGTTACTGGTAAAACTTATTTTTAGAGGCTTTGCTTGTAATGCTGGTAGCATGTAGGCCACTAGCATGGTGGCCTTTTGTAAATTTTTTTCTAATTCATACTTATGTGAGACAGAGGTCCCCTGTGGCCTCAGAATAAAGCAACTCAAAATTAATTCATTTTAAATATTCTTCCATAGATTTGGGTTGTATTAATGTTAACAGAGATGTTGTTCCATATATGCTGTTTTTCTGTCTCAGTCAAAAGCCATTGTTTTGCACGTCATTGGTACATGAATTTTAAGTCTGTCTTCCAGAGTAGTTTCTACCAGCTCCAGTTCCATCTGTTCATTCAATGTTTTCTTCTTCCATAATTTTCACCTAACATGAGTTTTTAACTGAGTTGTAATTTCACGAAGCATAAAATGAAGCTGTGATTTCTTAGGCAGGTGTGTCATGTCAGCTTACTTGAGACCCTGCATCGTGCTGTTTCATGAGGAAGTGATCTGAGGGAGCCAGCACAGCTTCATCAAGAGCGGATCATGCTCCACCAATCTGGTGGACTTCTACAGTGGAGTTATAGCAACAGTGAACAAAGGAAGGGCAACTGACATTGTCTGCTTTGATACTCTGAAATGACGCTCTGATGTTATTTTAGGGTTATGCTAACCTACCACTTTGTTAAGGAAAGAAGGTTCAATACTAGAGTGATGCTTTCTACTCTAGTCTCCCTTCTAAGGTGACACTGAAAGTTGTTGGGCTGGTATCAACGTGTCTGAATTATAACTTTGTTCCTCTTCTTTTTCTAGGCAATGGCTGTCCTCTTCTCAAATTTTGTCATTATAACAACAGCTCTTCTCTTCAGGATAGTGCTAAAGTAAGTAGTACTTAATAAGGTAAACAAAACTTTAAATTTTGTCTTTCTAGCCTAGATACAGTGGTTACACTACAGTCTTTCTTTGTCTGATAGCAACAGTAATACTGTTTTCTTGCGATTCCACCATCTTAAAGAAATGGCTTTGTGTTCTACATATGAAGGTGTTGGAAAGAATAGCTTTTCAGAGGCTCCTATGTATCTCCACATATGGTCACCTGTGACAGATTGCAAGTGATAGCTGTTGAATGATCAGAATTAAGGTTTGGGTTTGTGTATCTTCATTTGTGCATTAAATCTCTTAATGATGAGTAGTACTTCTTTCCAGTAACTTCTTTCCGATGTAACTCTTAATGGAATGTAAAGGTAATCTAGCAAGAAAGGATGAGATACATGAGAGTGAAATAGGTGTTTTCATTAATACTGTTCCTGCCCTGATGTGTTTCTGGTTAACTGCATAGGGTAAGTATCTTCTTTGTTATTCATGTGATAGGGAGAAGGATATTAGCTTTCATACGCTACCTGAAGAGTTATTTGTGGTGAGCTTTGAACAAAGATGCATTTTCCACAGGAGTTAATATTCCAAAAGAGCATCCAGTAGTTTGGCCAAAGTGCTTTTTCTCAGTTCTTTAGTTTTATATCTCTTGTGATGTCACAGTCTGCTTAATCTTCCAAATTTCTGATTTCCCCCCCCCCAATAAACAAGTTTCACTTGCTTGAGTGAGAGAGTAGTTACAATAGATAAGACCATTAGGCCTCGTGCATTACATTTCTACCATCATAAAATATTTAAAAAATGTACAAAATCATGGGGAAAAAATGAAATGTTGTAAAGGTTTACTGGACAGAGAATTATTGGAATGTCTGACTTCCTTTTAATCCTTTGAATCTGTGATTATGTGGACAGCAGTTGATTTTAGTTGTCAGGCAGCCAGCATCTACAACTGATTTAATCTTGAAAGATTTTCCTTATGTTGTCTCTACGTTGGTTTATTCTCTGTTCTGTGTTTCTGTAATCACCAGGTTGGGATCCCCTTGCCATAAAAAAAGTATGTTATGTTTTGGCATTTTCCTGTCGATTCTGAAAAATCATCATGCCACAGATAAGGAAATGTAGTCAAGCATAATGTCTTGTGTGTGCTTTATAGGGTTTGTTCTCTTCTCATTTAATTTGTATGACCGTGTTTCTAAAGTTTGTGGCTTTTTTTTGTCTACTCGTAGGCGAAAACTCTCTTGGGTACAGTGGGCATCTCTGGTTATCTTATTCTTATCCATCGTCGCCCTGACACTAGGAACTGGAGGCCGTCAGCAAAGCTTGGCTGTGCATGGGTTCCATCACAGTATGTTTTTCAGCCCATCTAACCACTGCCTTCTTTCTAATGGACCAGAGGAAATGTGCATGGAAAATGGTAGCTGTGGAGCACCAAGATTCCTTCCCACCTTCCGGTGGAATGTTACAAGTACCATGGCAGGAGCATTGAAACCTCTACGACTCAGTCTGGGGCATCTGCTTATTCTAGTGCAGTGTTTCATTTCTGCCCTGGCTAACATCTACAATGAAAAGATATTGAAAGATGGAGATCAGCTTGGTGAAAGCATATTCACACAGAACAGCAAACTGTATGCCTTTGGAGTGTTGTTCAATGGACTGATGCTGGGCCTACAGGCTAAGGACCGGAGGCAGATAGAGAATTGTGGTTTCTTTTATGGGCACAACATCTTCTCAGTGGCTCTCATATTTGTCACTGCTTTCCTGGGGTTGTCTGTAGCCTTCATCTTGAAGTTCCGAGACAATATGTTCCATGTTATGACAGCTCAGATCACCACTGTCATCATCACTACTGTGTCTTTTGTCATCTTTGACTTCAGGCCTTCTTTAGAGTTCTTTTTAGAAGCTCCAGTAGTGCTTCTCTCCATATTCATCTATAATGCCAGTAAACCAAGAGGCCTGGAATATGCTGCTATGAGGGAAAGGGGCAAGCTCTTCAAAGGAGATACATGGGAGAGGTCAAGTGGGGTAAGGCTTTTCCATACTTGTCTTCTCTGATTTTTTTTTTTTTTTTCTTATTTCCCCTCTATTTACGCTATGGGATATGGACCAAAATCATTCGTCAGCTGAAACACCAAAACTCCCTGCTATTTGTTAAAAATTTTCAAAAGTGATTGAGTGTTGCTTTGGATGTTAAACTTTTTTCATTCATAAATCCCAGATAAACAGTGCTTTTCTGCAGTGACTGTGCTGTGAGCAACTTCAGCTTTGTACAAGTTCTCTGTTGAGGGTATTGCTGGCCCTGGGAATACAGAAATTGGAATTGATGCCAGGAAGCTAACAATACTTAAGTAGAACTGAAATTTTTGTGTAGCTGAGCCCACATCATGAAGAAATTAATATTTGTTGTTAAGATTATTTCTGTCACAGCAGTCAAAGATACTCGCAGACATAATGGTAATGTTGGAGTAGACATTTTAATATTGTTTCATACACAACATTTTATCCAGGGCCTTTTGTTTTTTTTTCCTCCCTAAGTTGAACTGTAATTTAGACAACTCAAATATGGCCCAGAGAGCTTGCCCTTTAGAGTCTTAGCTCATTCACTGAGCTGAGAAGTCAAAGGGGGAAGGACTTAATCTCTGCATTCTGTGTGGACAGATGTATGCCTGTAATACATGTCGCAACCAGCAGAGAGTGCTGTTTCCATTTAATTCTAGGAAACATTAAGCTTCCAACAGACGTTTTCTGAAACTTACAAATGGTGCCCTTTTTAGATGCTTGTTTAACAAACAGTATGTGGGGTTTTCTTTTGTACCTTAAACTATCTATTTTAGCATTTACAAGTGAGCATCTGTGGTAAAAACAAAGAATACTATGTGTGCAAGTTTCCTGATGGTGGGCTACAAGCTTCTTCAGGGATCAAGCTACAGAAAAAAGCATTAAAGAGGTTGTCATTTATAAGCATGTGTACTAGAGTAAGATTTGAACACACTTGTAAAAGATAAATTACTGGGTGCTGATATCACAGAGATTGCTTAAAAATAGACTTTCTTCTTATCTCCTTTCTTTATATATTGGTAACAAGTTAACTTTGTTCACATTGTTTTTTCCTGCATCTGGTTCTTGCAGGATGGAGAAGAATTTGAGAGACTGAACAAACCAAGTAGTGACATTGATACAGATGAAGATTCACTCTAGAATGGAACAGGCTGAGAAGAATGCTATTACTCATAGTGAGGGAATGTTCATGTTCCCTTTTTCCCTTTTTGCAGAATGATTGAGATTTCTTTGAGCCTAAATGTTGGAGACAGATGAGGAAAACATTCAAACTCTTAATTTGAGCCTCACATTTTTGAAAGCTGCTTTCCCTCTTACCATCTCTGCAAATGAAGAGCTTAAAAACTGAAATAAACCAAGTTATAATTGATATGAACAAGAAGAGACTTGGATGCTGGACTCAGTTGTGTGGGTGATGTGTGCTGCATTGGAAGGCAGTCCTTGCTGCAAATATCCCAGCATGTGTCTTTCATCACTTTGGTTGACTGTTGTGAAGTGGTGCAAATTCCTGTATGCATTCCTTAGTTAACAAAACAGAGGTGATAAAACTGTTGTTCATCGTGCAGAAGTGGTAGGAGGACTGATTAGCATCTTCTAATTAAGCTGGCGCTAATAACCTTATAAATAGAATTGACTGTTTTATTGTATTTTGGTAAATCAGATTGAAACATCTCTACCTGAGTGAAAGAGTCCCCTTGAAACAATCTCATCAAACCTTGACTTGTGAATGTATAACAAATCAGATAATTTTGGTTAGGGATCCTTCAGACAGAGGAATCTCTAGAGTGTGATTTCAGTTTGAATGATTTTAATTTAATTTTCATTCCTGTTCTACATCAGTGTAACTCTGTACTGGCTCCTGTGGAGTCCTTTTTGATTCTTTGATGTGACTGAAACAGAATAGATTTCAGTGACTTCAGCCACCAGCTCTCTCATATTTCTATATGAGACTGCTTTGTGCCTGTTTCCCAGTGTTTAGGGAAAATTAAATGTGGAATGCCTTTATAGAAAACAGTGTATTTTACATGCAACTTATGTGGCCTAACACTGAAAGAGCCTGAATAAAATAAGTGTGTTATTCAGTTTGAATGTATCATAGGATCTTTTCTGCATGTGGAAAGCATATATGTAGAGATGTACTTTACACGGGGGCCACCATCTGAAAGCGAATATTACATAGCTACAGTGAGGCACTACAACATGTAGTGCTAAGTTCATGGAGCACTAAGCAGGAGGGTACAGGTGTTGGAATCATTTGGTGTTTCTCCACCAACTCAGACTGCTAAAGGTTTGCATTCCTTTTGTAGAGAGAAAAGTTATTCTGCAGAGTGCCAGGCAGGGTGATCTCAGAATAACTGTTGGCTTGTATTTTGAGTGAGATGAAAAATAGGTTCCAAAGTAATTCAGTGAATCTTAAAAATTGAAGGATAAAGTGAATAGGAATGCAGATAAGAGTTATTAATGTGTTCTTGGAAAGATACTGTCAAAGGAATTCCTAAGGAGGTATGCAATAAGTTCAGCATCAAACTCTCATACCACAGAATATAGTAATGCATTTCTCTGTGGACTGCGGACAGTTCTGTCTTTGTTCCCCTCTGCTACCCTGTTTCCAGGCTCTGTGTGCTAACAGCTTACTTACACATACTGTATTGATGCTCACTGCTGTATTAATTAGCATACCTCCTGTCACTGATCCGTCAGGAAGGGCAGCCTGTTTTCAGTTGTGGCCAATGTCTGTCAGAAACTATGTATGAAATTCTCATTCTGATTTCTGTTTTTTCGGATGATGAATGTGAAATCTTATTGGTTTTTTTTTTCCCTGGAAGTGTAAGCTTTTTCTAATATGTATTAAGAATAATTACACAAAGAGAAATTACTGTTGTGGCTTGTTTATATGAGGTAACCTTATAAGAAGTATTGAGCTGAAAAACATTTTACAGCTGATCTTGTTGTGCTTGTTGTGCTTTCAACAACAACAAAAAACCTTGTTGTTTGAATCTATACAGAATGAATAAGAAAGTATATTTGAATGTCAATTTCACATGGTTTCATTGGTGTATGATGTCCTGATTTGGGAAATGAGAGTTCAGTGTCAAAAAAGAAACCAAAAAACCCTCAAACTGTTTGAGACTTAGTTTGCAATAAGACAGCTTCATTTTGTTTTCCACTGCATACAGGTTTGCAATATATACTTGCCTGAGTTCATTGTTTTGGTTTTTTTTTTCCAGTCACAGCTACCCACTTTTAGCAGATATTTTCATGAAAAAATGAAAGTATTGTTGGCTTTAGACTGCTGTTAAGAGTGGTAGCTCTATACATTGACTTTTGTAGACAGTTTTGTCTTACATTGAGTCAGAGCATAGAATTCTGCTTCGTACCTCTAATGACAGAGTGTCAAACTGTAAATGAATGTCTTGAAAACATTATTTGACCTTCCTGCATGAACTATCTGCCTTAAGAGAGATAAGAGTTGGAAATGACTGATTTGCAAATTTTATAAAGTGCGTTTGGGATTGCATTCAGCTCTTGTCAACCTTAGTCATTTCTTCCCTCTTTAAGTTTCACTGATGTTGTAAAGCTTGACTTGTTTTGCCGAACTCTGATTGCATGAGGATATCAGGTATATAACTGTGAATGTAAGCTGGTGCACTGATTTACTGATCTATCTGATTTACTTTCCATGTAGAGTTAGGTGCTGTCTAACATGTGGTAATCTTTCTGTTGTCTTTAGGTGAACAGGTTGGAATGAGGCTGTTGGATTGGCCAGGCAGGTTTCTTTTAATAATGGAAGAGAACTTTGAATCCTCTCAGCAGTAACAGGAACATTAACTGTCTAAAAATGGGTAAGAACAATATAAACTTAGCAATAAAAAGTGTATAAGTAATTCAGAAATATGACCATGCAATTCTGTGCAGTCATACTGCCTATGGCGATAGTCAAATGTAGTGTGTATATGACATTTGTTAGAGAAAGTGACCATAAACAAATGTTAGCAGAAAAAAAACAACTCTGGTTAGCAATTGAGGCTGTTCTGTAGAACTGTACATTGCAAATAGATCGTGTGACCCCTACAGCAGTAACAGTGGTTAAGTACTTCCACTGTGGTGTCCTTCACTTACTCTGTGTGAGGAAGCTTACTTTTTTTTCCTTTCTTAGCTTACTATTTTACTCCTCAAATGGCAATAAGGAATTTTTTTAGGAGTTTTTTGGAGATCAGCATTCGTTTGACACATACTCTTTAATGAAGGTGTTGGACTGAAAGCTCTTTAGAAGTTGTGAGTCAGAGCCTAGATTCACAAATGTTTGAACTTTATCACTGCTTAGAATGTTATGTTCCTCCCTTGGATGGGAGGAATTAGTTCATAAAACCTCTAAGAGAGATCTCTTCATGTTTCTCTTGTTTATAACAAGTTTGTTAAAGTAATTTTTATTGGTTAATTTCAGCTACTTTGTGAAAGTAGAATCTGAGCTGTTGTGCTTGAAGGACAGCCTGTGGACTAAAACAGCTGTCTTTGAGCTGAATCAAATCCCAGAAATATGTATGAGAGAAAAGTTTTGAAATTTTCCTTCAATGTGTTGAAACTTCATACTCAGAACTGTAAAAATAGGGCTTTAATCTCAATAAACCTGTCCTCAGAATGGTGCTGCAGGGACAGATGAAGTATTTTTGATGTGATTTGTGTTTGGCACGATTAAGTGTTGGTTTGGAGTTGTCTGTCTCTCTGATACTTTTGGAGTCTTTGAGGTAACTATATATTGTTGTTAAAAGGATTACTGTGCCTCCCAGGCTTTGCTTTTAGTTTTCCACAGGGAGAGGTAGGTTGCAAAATCAGCATTTTAAACCATTGCTAAAAGTTGTTAGTAATTTTGAGCCAGTTTGTAATGAAGGCAGAAATTGGCATCAGAAGGTAGAATCCTACTGTCTCAGATTTTATAAATATTAAAATGTGCAGTTTTGGTTGAGAGCACATTCCAGCCTCCCTTATCAGTAGACAACAATTTGGAGTTGCCTTTTTAAAATGCAACTTCCACAGCCAAGACTGGGTTTGATACTTGCACAACTTGGATTAGGCATAGCCCTGTCTTTTGTAAGTTTACTTTTTCTTCCTCCTGCTTGGCACAGGATGTTTAGGTTCCATGTTTTGTACTGTCAATTAAAAGGGCTTTTATTTTTCATTTGCATGAAAAATAAGATTACAGGAAAGTTGAAGTGAACAACTGAAAGAAAACACTCCAGAGATGCTTCTCCTTTTGTTGACAGGCAGTGGCTGTTAGGTACACTTTCCTCTGCTTTTGCTTTAGGCAAAGATGGTTAGGTAACTGACCTTAATGCATTGGTGCAGTACTTGTTCTCTAGGCCTGAGCTATGGGACTTGATCTCTTTTCCTAGAAAACTTTCAGTTCTGTAACTTTTTTTTTTAATCTGTTCTCTTTGTTTTGTTTTTTCTCTGTCCTCTGCTTTAAGCTCCAAAAGTTCTGCAGGTAAAGAGAAAGCTTGCAAGTATTCTACAGGCATTAGTCCTTTCAGAATGGTTCTGTCAGACGTCTATCTCTGCCCACTTAGCTCCAGATGCAAACCTGAGAGTTTTTAAGATAGAAGCAGTATCCTGTGTTGGCTAGACCTTGTGGCAGAGGGCAGTGAACCCTGGAAGGTGACTAGGTCTAATGCAAAGGAACAACTGCCAGGCCCTGTGACCTCTTGACATCTGTCTGCCTTTCAGAAGGGCAAGCAAGATATGAC